TGGCTTGGAGTCTGTTGCTACAGCTAGAACTAAATGGGTAAGTTGCTGTCCCAGTAGCAGATCAGGAGGCTGGGACAGCGGCCAAATGGAGTTATTTGGGTCGGGGCTGCCAGTCCAAGCCCCAGGCAGGTGTGACTCACTAGGCAGTTAGGTCATGCTGGGCTGCCTGTTTGGACCCCTCGCATAAGTTGTTTGATGGACTGTACGGTTTGCCAAAGGGATTTGCAGCTTATGTTGTGTAGAGACAAACTGCAACTTCATTTGGTTCACAGGGCTACAAGGACTCCCTTAAATGTTGCAAATCCCATTAAGGATTTAGATGCTGCCTTTATTTGGTTTGTGGTGTCTTGTGTCCTTCCCACCTAATTTACAGAAGTCTTTGGCCTTGTTATATACAGTCTATCAAATGCTAGGTAACTTTCATGTATCTGAACACCAGCGTTAAATACCCAGACACAATGAGAGGGTAGTTGGGGAAAGCCAGAACATAAACATGAAACTGGAGATTCAAGATTAATATTTCTTGTCTTTTAACATTTCCTTCTTTTAAACTGTTGTGTCCTAAGAGGATGTTTTAAATTGCTGATATGGGTTGACGTGCACTTCCAGACTGCATTGGACTGATTGGGCCTGTTTGTAAAGCCAGTAGAACTAGAGAGATGTTGCTCCCATCTGTGCCCTTTGTATATACCACAGAAGAGCTGCTAGATGCTGCAGTCTTAAAGGATCATCGAGATCTCCGATAGTTACAAAATAGTCTAAAGGAAGAACCAATTCCTGGGTGCAGGGGGGGAAAAAAAAGAGACTAAAGGGTCAGAAAAATCACCCCAAAGCTTGATTTTAAGTTTCAGGCATTTTAAAGAAGTTCCAACTTTTCTCAAATATCTGGATAGACATGATATTTAATTCTTTTCTTGTTTTGACCCAAAACATAACCACACGTACCCATAGACTTTTCCTCAAGACACATCTGCTTGAATACTTTCTATCTCTGACAGCAATGGTTTGAGCCATGGCTGGAGGTCCACATGCAGCCCTATATTCCCCTTAGGGGGGGTT